CGTCGCCTTGCCGGAGGAGCTCCGCCACCTCGAGCACCAGAAGCAGAAAACGGCGGCGGTGACCACTGAACAAACAGCCGTTTCAGGTCCGTCAATTTTATATCGTTCTGTTTTTCACAATTTTGCCCTTTGACTCATCCTTCATTTCGCGTTTCCGTGGGGTAAATTTGCTTGGATTCGTTGATTTTCAGAATATCTGCAGGAATTGGGGAATTTTGTGGAGACTTTTGATTAGTTTGAGTCGATTTCATGTTGAGATTGTGCATTGTGTTGATTTATCACTGTGGATATTGAATTCGGTAGGGGTGGCAAATCGTGTTATTGTGTTTTCGTATTTCACTATCTGTGTTTCATTCCGTGTTTTTCTTTCCGCGTTTCGTGTTGTGTCGTGTTGGTTTGTGCCCATTGTCTTTATAGTTGTGTTTTCTAATCATGTCGTATTCATATTTCGTGTTGTGCTAGTCATTGACACCACTAGATTTTGAGATATTATGAACAAGTTTACGTATGTATTCTAATGAAGCATCAAATCCATTATTGGTGTCATCATTATCATCACCACCAGATTAGTTAGATAGCTGAAGAAAACTCCGATAGGTCCATTTTTTAACATACCTGTCGTAGTTTTGGATACAATTGTTTTTAGTTGGTCCCTTGTCAATCTATGTGCAAACCAAACCAATTTGTTATAACGCAACTGAGAATAGTACTTCATTTACTGAAATTACTTTCACGTGCAATAATACAGAATCATTTTCTTTTCTCATCTGGCCGAATGACTGACTGCAAAATCTATTTAGAGGCTTGAGCACCATGTCCACTTTCTTGAATTCTGGTTTATACGACGCTTGGTCTTTGATAAAGTTGTCTTGCCCCATGTGGAGACTCGAGTGACGTGTGTTTTTACTTGCTTGATTTACAAAGATTTTGATTTTTGTATCCGAATCTGTGTGATCTTGGCTTGAGTTTTGCAGGCACGACATGTTCACATCGCATTAATGAATCTTATGCACTGTACAAGTGTTTCCCGAGGGCACAAAGAAACACTTTTCTGATGTGCCTTTTTGTACCTTTTTTAACTGCAGCTTGAACCAGCTATCCATGTCAGGGTGAGAAGCTTATTGAACATACAATGCTAGGACCGTATTATGTAAAATGAAGCCGTGCGACTCATATGTAGTCTAGACATGATTTTTATAATTGTTCTTATGCCTTTGGGGTTGAAATAAATTCATTTGCTTTCTTTTGAGCTTTTGTTTCTTTTTGGCTGGTTTAGAATCATTCTCAGTCCGACTATCATGCATTACCAATTGCATCGCTCGAAGGCTTTGAATGAAGTTGTGGAAATAACCATCACATTAACATTTTTCACAACAGAGAATGTTAACAGAGAGCTTCCTGCATGGAGACTGGCTAGAGTAATAAATGAGCCAAGTCGTGTACTGAGCATTATGTGTAATCACTGAAATATATAAGTTAATCTTTGTTTGGGTCATAACTAACATCAGGCCACATCATATTTTGTTACAGCAAGAAAGTCAATGATTCTTCATTCACATGAACACAAAACCCACATACAGACTTACATTAAAAATCAGTCTGACATAAAACTTGAGAGCAGAATCTAAACCGAATGCGGCCGAAACTTCTGGCCTCGGATCCAAGGTCCAAACAAGAAACAATAAACTTTTCTTCAAACAATAAAATCACATAGAAAGTGTATTCGATATTGTTCCCTTGTTTACCAATATGTCATATAATCATATTTGAGCACCTCAACCGCATAGGCATTGACCTGATGACCTCACACATAGAAGACACGAAAATCAGAAGCAAGTAAGCCCACAAAAACTGTCAAGTGCATGTACATTAGAAGCCCCAGCCATCAAGTCAAAATCAAATCTAGCAATCACGCCGAAAAAAAAAAAAAATAAAATAAAAAAAATAAAAGCCCATGAGCAAGCAAGCATCCCACAAACAGTTGATCGGATTGATTAAGTATCAAATGATATGAAATCAAAATTATCTCAATGCAATGAAGAAAAAATTTGAAATGGGCAGTGCAGTAACCTGATAAAGTCCACAGTTCCTGCGATTGGAGGTGAGCATCTCAATTCTGAGGCAATAAACGCAAACTTCGGTTGTTTTAAATGCAGGGATAATGCAAATTGTTACGGTTTTTGGATGCAGTAGAAATGGAAGCTTATTAGGTTTTTCTATCTTGATTTGGATGATGATTTTTGTCTGTCAGTGAGAAGCCCCAGGACGAGGACGATGATTGAGTGAGAAGTCTAAGACACACAATATGGCGACCGGACGGTTCGGCCGGACACCCCATGGTGCGTCCGGTCCGTCCGTCCGGACACCCCATGGTGCGTCCGGTCCGTCCGTCCGGACGCCCCATGGTGCGTCCGGAAATTCCGTCCGGACGCGCAAAAAAAAAAATAAAAAAAAAATTAAAAATTATTTACAAAGTAAAAAAATATAAAAAAAATACATAGTCAATCTTCAATGTCTTGCCGATGTCATGGTATTTTTTTTGGATTTTTTCAATAAAAATTTGACGGTCAAAAGAGCCGTGAAAAGTCGAGAGGGAAAGAGTAGAGAGATAAAGTAGAGAGATAGTATGAAGGGCAAAAACGTAATTGGGGGGCAGTGATTAGTAAAAGGAGGGGCGGTAAATAGTAATACCCAAAATTTAACTCAACTTTAACTCAATTTCACTATTTTTAATATTATTCATATAATTAAATAATACAAACCAATCATTCTTACACATTATATCAATTTTAATTCACTATTCATCCACTCACATATTTTTAACTAACTATCATTTTCAATCATTTATCTCTTACTTTTACATCAAATCAATTTTAATTATTTTATTTTATATATTATTTTAATACATTCTTAAAATTCCACTAATAACTAATCATACTACCTTTTCAAAATTAACTATGGTAAACCAAAATAACTCACTTTGAACAAATTATTTCATAAACAATCAAGCCCTTAGTGACTTGTGTGAGGTAGGGCTTTAAACGAGTTGAACCTAGTTGAGCATTGGTCTTATCGAATATAATTGAGTTTTTTTTTAGCTGCTTGAATTCGATTTGATAAAATATTACAATAGTTCGAATGCGACTCGAAATCAAAATGTTCGAGTTTGGCTAAAAAAAATTAAGTGAAAAATGTAAAATTACCATTAAGCATTTATGATAATATATGGCTCATATATTGACAAAGGAAGGAGGCAGGCTGATGCCTGCGAGCGTAACGGAGCGAGGAAGCGGAGCGACCGAGCGAAGTGGAGCGAGGGTGCGGGGGCGGAGCCCCCGTGGTATAGACGGGGGTGCGGGGGCAGAGCCCCCGCGGTACGGTACGGGGTATTTAAGTAAATTAATACCTTGTAGGATTATAGTATAAATACATGGTGTATTGATGTATTTGTGACTATTGAGAATAATAAAAGATCACTCAACCGCCGTGGACGTAGGCACATTGCCGAACCACGTAAATCTCGTGTTGTTACTTTTCTCATTTTTTTTAATTCGTATGTCATATTGTTATCTTCTCTCAACAGATTCGAACTCGACTCGAGTTCGGTCAAATTCGAGGCGAACGATTTGTTTGAAGCCTTACTTGTGACTCGTGAATGTAGAGTTTAAAGTATTTCTGAAAATCTAAATAATGTACGAAGGTCCAGGAAAGTCAAGAAAGGTAACACAGAGAAAAGGTCATATAAAAGGCCCTTGGCTCGTTAGGTTACCGAACCGATAAACGAACCCAAACATGACATGTTAAGTTAACGAGTCGAATCACGTTAAAAATATATAATAATGTGTAAAAACTCTTATTTATGAAGAGTTCTGACTTGTTTGATAAATGAATTGATATGAGTCAAGCTCGTTTCGTTTAAGAGCTATCGTGCAATTAAATCCAATTATAGGATGTTGAAAATTTTGAATATTATTTAATAGATAATCGAACTAAAAAGTAGATCTAAAACACGTTTTGGGAGATAGAACCATGAAGTGGGTTCATCTATGCCAAAACAACGTGAATCACCAATTATTACTTTATAGTGTAAGCTGGTCCAAAATTTGTTTGTTTATCACCCAAACTAGACAACAATTCAATTTATATAATATACGCTATGATTATTAGTTCAATTCATTAAATATGAAGATTATTAGTTCAATTCATTAAATACTCAATGATTATTATTTTTTTAATATAATATTATATTGAAAAATATGAAGATTGATGAATAAGTGGATAATCAAATTCAACAGAAAATAGTAACACAATTATTATAATTAATTACTAATTTAGAGTGTATAAACGAGTATTGAATTTTACTGAATATTTATTATCGAGATGAAATTGATAAGAAAAAAAAGCAGATAAATATTTTTTAAAATAAAATAAAATTATTTATCTATACTTATATTAATGGGATCTTATTTACTAATTATAGTAGTTAGAAAAGTCAACTTAATTAATAAATTTCTAATTTTATCAAATATTTAATTAATGCATTTAATATTTTGAGTATGCAAATCAAATTAGTATTTAATTAGTTCTTAAAATATTGGGTATGCAATATTAATTTATTAATATCCATGTAGTTCCTAAAATGTTGGTATGCAACACGTAAAAGAAGATTTTTTTTTTTTTAAATATAAAATATTGCAACATGTAAAACTATTCCAATTATTTTTTATTTTATTTTACATATAAAATATAATCAATATTTAATACATCCTACAAAATTGGATTTAGTTTAATTCTCCATACAATTGGTTGTAACTTTTTTAGGTGTACTTTATTTATTTATTTATTTTACACTTTTAAATTAATGAAGCTATTCGAAAATACCAAATCAAATGATTTATGAAATATTTTTTTTTTTAAATCTATATACCCAACTCAAAAAACTGATTGCATAAATACGGACGAGTTTAGGAAATTTTATAACCCATATTACAAAATTCCATCTCCAAAGTCATAAAAATCGCATCCCTCATCGCATCCCTCATCGTAATAATTTTAAAGATAAATAAATAAAAGTCTAATTACTACTATAAATCCATTATCTTTTTAGATTTTTTTTAAAAATCTAAATTTCACATGTCTAATTACTAATACTTTAGATACTTTTAATATTATTTGTATAATTTTTTTTATACATTTGCTCTCTCTCTATATATATATACATATATGGAGGTTAAATGAAGAATTTTTTGACATGTTTTTCTTACGAGTAGTTTAGAAAAGTTTAGGTAGCTTCAAACATTATTTGTGAATAATGTTAACAGAAACAGTCTTCAGTGTTCGTCTTTGATCTCAATTACATATAATTTTTTTTATTTGTCACCTAATTTTTGGTGTGCATTAATCTCAATTTGTGTTTGTAAAATTGATAGCTTTTGCATTAATTTCAATTCGTATTTGTAAAATTGATAAATTGTTAAGCGTACAAATTTCTTTTTATGGTAACAACTTAAAAAAATGATAGTAATTTTTGAAATATTGTGCAGTCAAATCTTCATATAGAATTAATATCAGAATTATGGTATCTTATAAATCTTCTCTAAAACAGAATTTTGCTAACAAGCCATAAACAAATGCTAAGATCCTTAGGCTGAATTCTAAGTTAAAACACAATGAATGTTATGAAGAGAACGTAAGGCACAATATAGCAACAAACAATATTAATACAAGAGATTGCATACTTATGTATGATAAAAGTTGTGAAGCATGAAACAGGGCAGCAATATATATCAGCTAATGAAATGAATGCCAACACAAATCACTGCATTACTCACAAGTGCAACACAAATCACTGCATTACTCACAAGTGCACATCCTCTTCAATTCCAGCTCTCAAGCTCAGATAAAAGTAAAAGGCTCCATCTAGATCAAAGAAAAAAAAAAACATGAAACTAAGCCATTGTCCCACTTGGCAATAAAACGTTCGCCAAGAAACACGAAACTACCAAGAAAATAAAAAATTAAAAAAGAAATCATTCCATAACAACATTTGCCCCAACTGCCTTCATTTTCTCGATAATTTTCTCCGCCTCCTCCTTCGAGACCCCCTTTTTGATAACAGCCGGCGTCTTCTCCACAAAGTCCTTGGCCTCCTTCAGACCAAGTTCAATAAAGCTTCAAATCTCCTTAATCACCTTGAGCTTAGATGCTGCATCAAAAGACTCCATTTTTAGCTCAAACGTTGTCTTCTCAGGCTTCTTCTCCTCCTAGGCGGCCGTGGGCACAGCCATGGCGGATGTGGGCCCCACAGACCCTGGCTTCATAATGCCTATAACGGGCATTTCCTTCATGCTCAGCTTCCTCATCATGATAGATGAAAGCTCAACCGTCTCGATAAGTGTGAGCCCGGATATCTCATCCACGAGCCTCCACACCCGTTCGGAAGGCGGGCTGCGATGCTCTGTGGGGTCGAAGTTTGACGGGTCGTAATCGGTCGGGAGCCTTCTTTGGTCGATCTCGATTTCTTCATCCTCGTTGTCTAACCGTGCAGGCTGGGAAAAGTGCCTGATCATCAAACCCATTGGTTTGGGAGAGGTGAGTGAAGAGAATATACGCTGCTGCCTGAAGGATCCATATATCAGCTGATGACTCAGTCTTGAAATGAAGCTCATTGTGGGTTTTTCTGAAAAGGGTAGCTTGATATTGAGTTTGCTTATGAACCCATCTCTAAGGAGACTAACCCATTATATTAATATTCTCAACAAAGACAAAATCCGGACCGAGAATTGACCCAAGAAGAACATTACATAGAGTTAAAATGTTAAATTTTGAAAATCGGGAAAAAAATATATGTAGTCAAAAGTTGATATATTAAGGCAAGACTTGTTGGAGGAAAACTATTCAGATTCAGGTAAATCCATTATTCAAGCAAAAATGTTTTATCTTCCAAATGCAACTGATACTGGGAACCTGGAAAAGACCATAAACAATTCAGCAAGGGCTACTTGACCGAGAAAGAAAAAGAAGCAGGTATACCAAAGTGTAGATTTCATGCTGAACAGGAAGGGAAGGCAGGCATTCATGCATGGGTCAGTGAAACGCAACATCCATGTCAGATTACAAACATTCAGCATAAGTTATCAGACAGGGATAACTGTAAATGATTGTTCTCATCATTCAGAAAGTTGCAGTCATGTACAGACAACAATAAAGTATGTTCTATCATGATCAATACAAGCGCCCCACACGAAATGCTCCAAGACAACACATCGAAGAAATGAACCAATGTTAAGACAAAGCAAGCGCCAAATCTACGTCTTTTAGGTTGTGTTTATAGAGGGGAAGGGAGGAAATTTAAAAGATTTATAGTTTGTGAGTGAAGCCTCAGTCCGTCCTAGTTCAAATGCACTCAACATAACCAATAGTTTGGCATTTCAGGATAACTACAATAGTCATCATAGGCTCCATTATGGTTCAATTTTTAAGGTTCAAATATATATAGATGAAATTAATGAAGTTAATAAAAATACCACATGAAACAGAGATCCAATAAAAAACATTTTTTCCTCTCAAATTAATACGATGTAAAGGAAAATTTCACAAAAAAAAAAAAAAAATCCAAATCCGTTATTATTATCCAAAATTTTAAGTTTGAAATCACAAGTTCCTACAGGCATCAGATCTTCCTATTCAGATGAGTCATAACACCCAAAAATGTATTGGGCATTCCTCTCCGAAGAGTACATCACTTGCCTCTTCCAATCATTGACATATAATTAACATATAGAACACATCAAAAATGGAATTGAGGTACAGACAACACAAATGTTCAAGAAACTCATCTCCTCAATGTGACAACAACACCAATCACATATAACCATTAACTAAAATTCTAATTTTCCCTCAAATCTCAAAGGGCATAGAAGACTAAAGAACTAATTCATACACGCAGACACATCTATATATATCAGTAAATAAAAACGTACCATCGGGCAAATAGAAATCTGAGGAAGGCCATCCCTGCATGCTAACCGTAGACAGGTTCTCCTTCACCGTCGGCGCGTTAGATACGCCGTACGAGCTAGGACGCGGCGGGACCCAGAACGAGCTTCTGGGGACGAAGGGAAGCCAATCAGGCCTGGATCTCTGGACAATTATGCTGTGGATGTAGTCCTCAATCCTCTCCACCACCCTCGCTTCCACGTCCGACGGCGTGTGCTCCGGCCGCGATTTACTTCTCTTCGGAAGGGTGGAGAAGCAACGGATGTGCCGCGCTTTGACGGCTGAGAGGCGGCGGGAGGTCGGGGAGGCGGTGGAACGGATTAGGGTTCGATAAAGGAAATTCGAGCTAGCCATTGTTTTTAGATCTACAGAATTGGGGATAAGCAGTATGGAATGGTTTATACAGAGGGAGAAGAGAGGAGTGGATTGATAATATTTCTTTAGTGAGGGATCCGTTTGTAATTTATGAGTTATTTGCTAGGGCTGACCTGGATGGGCTGCTGCACCGACTTAGGGCATACTGGGCCCAATATGAATGTGAACAAGAAATATATGGGTTGGGCCAGAAAATGTCGCCATAATCCACATCCATACAAAGGCCATTCTAAGGCCGAAATAAATGGTTAATCAATCAATTATGGAGATGAGAAGCTTTTTTTCATCGTCACCACCCACGAACACCGAAAAACAGGCGATTGTGAAGAAAAACAAACATGGCGATGAGAAGCTTTTTCCCCATACGCTACCTGAAGAACGGGATTCAGCGCGGCCTCGACAGCTACCACGCCAGGTTCATCGAGA